AGTTCGGGTTTCTCCGCTTTTCCAGAAAGAAAAAGGAGGCAGTAACAGAATACATTAAAGGAATATTGTAATGAAATGCGTGTGAAATTTCATGTCCACTGGTGACGTTGGCAGTCGCTCTCTTGACCAAACAAGAACAAACTAATCAGGAAGGAGAAAGTGAGACTTTTAAACTGACCATTAGCTTTCAATGACAAAACTGTTTATAAATCATACTTTCAAACTGCTTTAAAACATATACACACACACTTGCACTTCCAGTACCCGGAATCAAAGCTGCTTCAGCAAAATGCATCAGTTTATATCACCTTTTATCATTTATCAGCTTTTAATTTATTCATAGAGGCACTAAACACTTGAAGGCACAGATTTTTCAACATACACTATATACATAAAAACTGGTTACATGAGAACTCCGCTTAATTTATTCTGGAAGGATGTTCTTGGAAGTGTCACTATTAACTATCTTTAGAAAACAAACCAACTCGAAACACAAAACTATTCTCAGCGGTTCCCTCATGCACCTCAACATGATTTCCAATCTTACGTATCTTACCAAAATAACTAAATATGTAAGAATGTAATCAGCTAGACATTAACCCTCCATTATTTTTTTTAAAGGAAGGGTAAGTCTCTGCATGTACGATTTACATGTGCCAATTAAAAGTACTTTCTGCAGGCTGGAATACAGACCTTTTAGCACTCCAGCCCTGTTAATCCGCACCAATTTCTAAAATAAGGTATGTTAAATTTTGGTCCACAAACCTTGGCAATCTTTTACTGTCCCTTTTCTGTGTCTTTGAGCTGTGTACGTGTACACAACGTGCTGCTTCTGAAAATGGTTTTGAAAGACCATTTTGCAGAACTACAGACTGCTAGAAACACCTGTCTTACCCAGATAGCTGCTTCCTCCGAGCTCATGTGACTGCTGGAGTGGGAAAGGAGCAGGAATCATTTGCATTATGGCTTTTTGTAACTGAGCTGTAACAGACTGTGTTCAAACAGGAAGAAGAACTTCATAATAAACTACAAAATGATTTGACTGCATCATTAAAGAATGTGCCTTTCACGTTTTCCTTACCTTTAGCAACAGTATTTTCTGACTTTTGTTAGTAAAAGCACTACTGCAGTTTACACTAAGAAATCATTTCTATAATTCTTTTGAGATATCATTACTTGAGAAGAATCCTGCCTATAAACATCGACCTTATGTACAATACTCACACAGAATGTTTGAAATAGCAAAAAGAAATACCATTTTCTCTATTTGCAGGGCAACACAAAGCTGCCTAACTACCCAAATGTCTTGCAGCAGAGAAGCCTTCACGCTCTCGGTGTCAGAAGGAGATGTCCCACTTGGCACGTCAACAGCATCTACGGCTGAAATGAAGTTCACTTCTTGCACCAGTGCCTATGGAGCACAAGCTGTACTGATGATTTTACTACAGTGACCTGACCGGCCACGAGCTACACTAAAACTTTCCAGTGAACAGCTGCCTCACGCAGTCTTTGCAATTCCAAATTACTGAGAGCACGAAGCAGCGTGAATCCCAGCCCTGGAAGAGCAGTGCACCAAGGCGACCTCAAATTTACTTCAATTCAGAGTGCACGGACACTTTGAGGAATGGAGGTTTTCCGTGAAGTAGACCCAGACTGCTGGCATGGGTCTGTTAAACAACGTTTTAATGAAGAGTTTAGACCTGGTATTTGATAGAACAGAACGAAGAGCACTTTATTGAAAAAAGCACCTATCCACTGGAGCAAATAAATGTATGTGTATGAAAAGGCCTGGAATGAAGCTACAGAATATACACATAAGGAAGAAATACAGATCGCAGATGTAACATCTGTTAAGTTACTGTGACACTAAGATTTTTAAGTGGTAGCAACAGGTATGTGGTTAAAAAAAAATGACACAAAAAAACAAAACCTCAAACCATAAATAATGTTTTGGAATAGTACTCAAAAGGTCCATTGCAAGATTTAACAAGGAAAAGAAAGGCTTTTACACAGGTGGAACTAAGTGTGGAACCAAAGTCTGTTTCTGGAAATTGCTTTTCTACATTTCAGAAACAGTTAGGAGTTTAGGTGTTTGTTAAAAAAAAGTTTCATGTAATGCAAATAACTGAGTTGTATAAAATATATACACGTATATGAAGAGTTAAAAAATACATGAGTTACATGATTATAGAGAATACGATTAAAAAAAAGGAATATCAAAAGCCCTTTGGCAAATAAACAGAAAAGTTAGTAAACTCTGCCCATCATGATAAGGTTTAAAGACAAATTTTTCAAAATATTTGGATTTAGCCTTACTGCATTTTGCAAGCAAACTGTCTCAGGAAGCATATGCATTTTTAAAATAAGAAACACAAAAGCTAATAAAAATGCCAAAATCAAAAGGTTTAAGAGATCTTTCGAGAGACCTCTTGAAATCTACTCTCTTTTTTTCTGGTTATGTGCCAGGAGCCTGCAATACACCCACTCTTTTTACCGTAAATGTCTCTTTGCCTTTCTCTGTAATATTGCAGTTCTGTGCCCTATATTAAACAATTATGTAACTTTCCCTGCATAGAGGAAGCATGGCCATTTCAGAGGCTGGCTCAGCATCCAGAAATACCACACATTTCTGCTGAACTATGTCTATAGGCAAAAAGAACCTACACGGATCTTAAGCCTCCACTAGCATACATCCAATTTTTGCTAAGAATTCTTTTTTTCCTGTGCAGGCAAAGGTTAGTGTTGGAAAATTGCTTTAAAAATATTGTTTTTATTTTATGGGTGGGGAAAAGAAAGGACAGAAAGATTTCTAAGCAGAGATTTTTTTTGAAAAGATTTCCACTGTTTTACAGAATTTTTCCCAGAGGTTCCCAGTTCTCCTCAGATATATAAGAATGAGTCTTCACATCCCACTTTATTCGCTGTCATACTTAGTGTATTAACAATGAATAAATTTGCTAACTAGCTTTATCCAAGAAAAAATAAAAACAAATCAGGAGTAGGCAGTCAAACACCAGCCTTCATGATTGTCCCTTGCTGCCAACTTGCTGCTCAATTTTCCAAGCTAAAGCATCCAAAAACACTAGTTTCAAGAAAATATAAAGAGCAAGCATCTACTTTCATTTGAAAAAATAAAAGTCAGGAATGAAGTTGCTTTCCAATATCAACCAATGAAATAACAGAAGAAAGAGGGGACATGTGAAAATTTGATTTTTGGGAACATAAATAAATTTAACCCCTTTGATTGTTTTATTGCCAGCTGAACTCAACTGTGGAAATAAGAATTTTTTTGCATTAAATTCAATGTCGAAATTATCAGACAACAGGTTGCATCTAGCTTCCAAAGGAATAAACTGTTCTAATATTATTTATTGATCTAGAAATAAAAAGTAGAAAAGCTAATGCTGTGCGAATTCAGCTTCCCTAAGTAATTTAGTGAATAGTTCACAAAATGCCAGATAAAATAGACCTAAAATCTGATTTAATCATTCATGGCTGTAAATCAGGTCAAGAAAAATGTATGGGCTTCATTACACAATAAAAACTAAAAGATAAGTGCAGTCCAAAAGTATGATGCAAAGAATAGGTTTAGAAAGACAGTAAATTACACAAAAAAGAGGGTTTTGCTCTGTTTTGCTAGGCTCTTCACTGTGAATACACTGTGCAATATAATCAATACAATTTTCCTGCGGCAGAATTACAGAAGATTCAGAGAAGGGGAATGAAAACTATGAGGCAAAAAAACCCTTCTTATGAAAATCCTTCTTATTAAATGAAACAGCAAATGTATGGTACTATTTATCTTAAAAAGAACGGAAATACCACAGCAAATGACACAAATATGTAAAATATAAATGTAAGATATAAAATATAAATTGGTGAAAAGGAAGAACAAAGTCTTCCACTCTCTCAGATAATAATATAAGAGCCTAACGACACTGCAGACCTTGGGCTTGGGCACACGGTTTAAATGGCCTCAGATTTACATGTGTAACAACAATATTCAAAGTTTTAGCTGTTGTTAATGACATGTCTTCGTAGAGGAAAAGGCCCCAGGTTTTAAGACAATTTCTACTGGCTGAAGAAATACCCTGCAAGGTAAATTTTACACTATAACTGAGCCATGAGACATTTCTCTATCTTATTCGAGACAACTTATGTTAACTAGATATTAAGTGGACCACCAAGCACACTGCTCACCTATGCTCACCTATTTGAGTTTCTACTGCATTTTAATCCTTATAACTGTAATCAAAGGCAGGAAAATTATATTAACCTGTGGGTGGCAACTGAACACCACAATAAAGCTTGTGTTCACACAGAATGCAAGCTGCCTTGAAACACTGGATTTTTAAGAGTCAAGCTCAGGGAAGAGAATTTATAACCAGAAGAAAAATAGATAGTGACTGGGGAGAACTAGAGATCCTGAATATGATTCACAAGAGAAAATGTGTTGAACTGAAGACAGCCAGTAAGAATGGCCAGAGAACAAACGCGGAGAATTCTGCCTCCCTCCTGCCCCTGCAGAAGTTAGGTATTTATATAAAATCACATTCACATCTGACGGCTTCTCTCTGGAATCAAGCATTTACAACACTAAAATTGCCAATCTATCATCCAGGTCTGTTGCATAATAACTTCCCACTTCCATGGGAAGAGGAAGACCAAGAGAAAAGTGCCCTTTCGTTTACAGGGCTTAAGTCAATTTCTCTCACCTTTTATGGTGAACTAGTCAGGATGGGAAACATTATCCGCTGCTGCTGTAAAGTTAGGTTGCTTTATAGCTAAAATGCAATACAGATAGTACCTTAAACAGGCTAAGCTGTATCTGCTTCTGAGCAATATATCTGAGCAATTCTTTAGGAGTACAAGTTCTGGATTCTGGTCCTGACTCCATTTTGCCCAAATACTCAAATGCAAGATCATGAAGAATCTCACTCCCCCTGACACAACAACACTACCACAGCCACTGTCCCTAGTACAGAGAGCCCCAAAGCAGCACTACTAGCCAAAGTCTGATGCAAGATAAACACAAAACAAGGAAATACATTAGCAAATATAGTTGTGGCTTGCCTCTTGCCCCGTCTGGGGTCTGCAGAGGACACTGCACCTTGAACTACTTACTCAACACATTTTCCTCTAAGGCTCACTTTTTTTTTAATGGAACATCTATTAATACCAGTGACCACCTCTACAGCTCCCAACATCAAAGCTGGGGACACTTGAAACTGACACAATTTTGGTGTCAGGTTTTTTTGCTACTCTCATACTTTTAATTATGAGTAATGAATTGACTAGACTTCTTAATATCAAGCTAATTTTCCTTTTGCAAACAGTAAGTATGTATCAATGCTTCTTTTAATGCTAAATCTACCAATGTATATTGGTAAATACGCAGAAGACTCTCTCTGAGGGAAATGATAGGACATTTCATATTTAAGTGTCAAGCTTGATTGATTTTCCCAAGCACTGAGCCCTGCCAATTATGGCTGAAATTCTGGGAGCTGAAAATATAGAAAAGCTCTGAAACTAACAGGTAATATAGTTTCCTACAATCACAGGGGAATTCATCACAGAATTTGTTTTCCTTAAAATAAAGGAAGAATGAGTTTTTCAAGCCCTTTGCTCATACACAACAAAAGTCTGAGCACACTCACATATGGCACAGCATATGCCAAGAAACAAACTGCTGCTCCGTGGAGTCTGTGTTCTTCGGGCAGGGGCATTCATGGTGTAATCCTTGAAGCCAGTGGAGTTACAGGACTATTCAAAGAAATGTATTCAAAGAACTTCCACCAAAGCATATCAAAATGCAATGTATAAAAATAGATGGACCCTCACTTGAAAAGGCATGTAACAAATAATTTGCAAAATTAATAATTATGTGCAACTTACTCGTTTATCAATATCGCCATGCTGAAGTTGAACAAACCGAGCGCTAATGGCAGCAATATAGCTCTGCTGATTGGAAAAAGCAACACGTCCTGCACCCTTGGGGTATTTCAGCTCGGGGTCGGTATCAATTCCTGCGTAACACACTCCACCATAGAGACGGTCCATGATCATTGCCAATTCCACTATAAGGGAAAAAAAATCCATTTTAGGTGTTCTTTTACAAACTTTATAGAGTACATTTTTATTTAAAATGTTTTTAAAACGTGTTCTGGCAAGCCTCCTGTAACATTTTTTAGTCAATTCAGTGTTGCAATTTATTTAGGGAGAATATTTAAAGAATCTTTCAGAATCATATCCTACACTAATATATCATGGCAGGTATTTTATAGCACTGTTTAAAAAAATCTAACTCTTGTGACATTATTTACATTTTGATTTTGGTGACAAAAAATGAAAATATTTTCTACAGCTTCAGAAACATTTCCCAGTGATTCTAGGGCAGAGATTCCAAAACAGAGATCTGTGGTCAAAGCCAGCATGAAAAAATTATTAGAAAACACCAAAAACAACATTTGATAGTACTGTGTGTAGTCTGCTATCAAGACAATCTTCTATTATATGTATGTAAGTATGTATTCACACAAGCACACACAGCCTGCATAGCTCATATTTCCCATAATTTCCTCTTTTGCATATAGCCACAGCTTATACTCACCAGCTCTTAAGGGCCTGGGGACTCCTCCAACAAAAATTGTTTTTCGAGGATCAAGAGGCTGGGAACCATCCATCACAAAGTCACTATCACTTAGGTTCCAGGGACGGATCTGAACCTATTAAATAGGAGAAGAAAATGGTATGTTACTTTAAGTTTTACCATGTTACAGACATATGTTCATCAGCCTATCTAAACTGTCAAACAGTCACAAACCCATTAGCTTAAAATGTCTAGCTGCTCTATTTAAATTCTATCAATTCAAAACACTGTAATTTTAAAATCATCCAATTATTCCAGATGTTGAGCTCTGCCGACAGTAGTTTGCTTTTGATTATTTTCATCATCATCATTTCAAATGCAGCTTTAGACAGATGGCAGCTATAGCCTGCAGGCCATCTACTGTTTACTTACTGGCTTGTCCTTGATCGTGGGACTGGAAACACACAGATAGAGCTTTCCATCTTCTTCGATACAGGCATCAATCAGTGCCTGAACAGAACTTTCTTCTTGGAAAAGGAGGAACGCATAACCTGGGGGAAAAAAAAAAAGAAGATTCAGTTTTTATTTTTCCTCTTACCTTTCCTCAATCTTGTCAGTTTCCTCTGTAAGAAAATGTTTGTTACAATATTTGACAAATTTACATTTGTTGGCCAGCCATCTTTTTCACTTATATACTATTTTGCCACGATCGATTAATTTCAATAGAGCTCCAAGCAAGTATTTCTGTTTTCGGAAAGAATTTGCCTAGAGAGATTAATAATCAAATAAAAGCAAACCTGGCTGCTCTAACACACACTGGAAATCAGCACAATTCATTGCCAGGAGTGGACATTATACAATGAAAATCCGACTTGGCACAAAGGACTAATCTCAATTCTGAAGATTAGATCAAAGCACTTTGTTACATAAGTGATCCAGCAAGCCTCTCAAACACTACAAAAATAGGAATTAAAATGGTTATTGAATTCTACAGGAGGTACAAATAGTGCAACAAACAAAGAACCATACATTGCAGAATATTTTGATGGTTACAGTTTAATAATACATATAAAACTTTTTTATCAGGTGCCTGATAGTATGACTACAGTTGCATTCTCAAATAGATTTTAAAAGAATCATAAATCCATGTTTCTTTCTGACATTAACAATAAACATTAATTTTTCACACTAATTAGATTTTATGGCTT